AAACTTAACAAAAATTACATAAAAAGTGACATGCAGGTGTTCGAGTCACCAGAAAATGCTGAGTAATAATTCTCAGATTAGGATAAACGTTAGCTCAGACATTAAAGAAATCTCAGAAAGTAATATCTCAAATCTACAAAGGCTATTTCTTTAAATACAAAATCAGACAACGGCGTGTAAAAAATAAACTGTGTGGAAGAAAAGTAGCATGCTGCCTATGCTAACTATACAGAAAAAAAAATATGTGGGGAGTGTGAATGAACTATCTTGTCCTGGTACCTTAAATGAAGATGTAAGAATGAGGGATGAAATCAATGAGGCAGCATCAGTCTCTGATTTAGGCAATATGAAGGTTCAAACAAAGCAACAGTGAAGAATATTGTTGGAGTGTTCTCACCCAGATTACCACTTCAGCGGCAGATTTGTCTTTCACTTTGCCCCTGGTTGAAATTGGCCTAATCAGAGCAATGACATGCTGCAATGATTGGATTAAATCAGACTGCGCATAGAAGTAGTTCCTGATGGTAAATGATTTGATAAAGCTGAACAAGGTAATTACATTGGAGTCAGTGACGTCTCCTGAAATTACATGGATAGGTACACAAAGCTTACTTGTACACAGCCTCTACACTATCTTTGTGAATCTTATTGTACGGAAGTTTAAAGATAATTTCTTCCGCCTCCCTCACCTTCCTATGTCCTCCCAGGTAACAAAAACACACACAGTTAATTGAGAAAAGAAGTTAGAGGGTGTAAACTTGGGATAAAGCAATATCCTGATATCATAAATGCACATTCTGCCTCCTCAGCTTTATTCACATACATCAGGCATGAATTCGCTTTATGAGTCTTTTTCAGGAAACAAGTGGGCAGTTCCAGGCCGTTCAAAAGTGATCAAAACAATTGTGTGTTAGGAATTGTTGTGGAAATACACTATATGTTTCATCATACTTTAGGGGAAAATGTTACAAGTTCTCTATTATTGGTGGTGAGCTTAAGATGAACCATTTCAAAAGTTTATTCCAAGAGCGGTATGAAATGTTAGTAATGACTTGTTACCTAACTGTTTCCTCAGTGTGGGGACAAGAGGAGGAGTAGCTGCTGAGTCACAAGTTATTATAATGTCACTGTAATAATCAGAGCTGCACAGGGTCCAAGATGTTTTTCTGATTCTGCCAGGTTTCTAACAGATTTTTGGTCATTTATTTTAGATTCCCCATTATACCAGATCAACAGAAAAGCAACAACAGACTTGACGTTATGCACATACACAGATACTGAACTGTAGTGCCACTGAGTTAACTTGAGTTTTTTTTTTTTTTTTTTTTTCAATTGAGCTAGCTTGACTTCAGTTGAATAAGTCCAGTTGGGTGTTGCTCAGTTAATTTTTGCTTCAAAAAAACAATCTGATGAGACTGTTGGAAAATAACTAATGTTGTGTGCAAGTTGTGCTAAAAGGAGGTAGCTTATCACCGGCGCTATTAACCTCTAAAATACCATCTCAATGCAAAACATGTTGCAGCAGCACAGATGTCCCCAACGCTAATGCTAACATTATCTCTCTTGTAGAGCTCCTATGTCTATTCATTTAATTGTCTATTCATTAGCATCACAAAAAGGGGTCATGAATTAAAAACGCAGCGTAAGAGTTTCGATTAAAATTCGAATTAATTGCGATTAATTACACACCATGCAATCAACTTGAGTAAACATTTTAATCGAGCCTCATCATTTCTTAAAGCTGCAGTATGTAACTTTTACAAATTTTATTTTATTGGTTTACATATTTGTTGACACATTCACTACATCTTTTTTTTTATTTTTATAAAAGTTACATACTGCAGATTTAATATATACCTTTACTTTCCAGGAATGAACCCAGAATGAGATTCGTAGAGGAGAATCATCCTCCCTTCCACCGTATCGCCGGGTGTTGTTGAGACAGAGGGTGGATGACCCTGGTTTGAAGCTGGGAGGAGTGTGTCGCATTCCATGGCGTGGGATTCTGATCTGAAGCCAAATACATCATGACTTCCTTTAGCTTCTCATCTGTGTTTTATTTCCACTCTGCGACTCATGCCTGCTCTTGTTTATTGCTTCAAATCGATGAGAAGAGAGCAGCACTGGAAGCTGTATGAGCTGTGACAGGCTATGGGGCTTTAAGCCATGGGAAAGCAACCCATGAAGCCATAGGAGAAAAATCCCTCCGTGCTGATAGCACATCAGACTGCATGCGGCGCTTAAAAGATTGCCTTTGGGTTCAAGTGTGTGTAATTTTACTTTCTGGTGGTCCTGTGAACTCAGAGTGGAAGAGGAGGGGCTGCTGAAGATGGGAGGTGGTATTATGGACTGGAACGATTAGATCAGTGTTTTCAATCTTGGAGTAACGGAGAGCCGAGGGCATCACCACACCAGCTGTGTCAACTAATTAGCACACTTTCACTTAGCGTGGAGGAGGAAATGGTGTGCTTGGACTGGGGTTGGTGCGCGTCCCTCCAGGGCTGCTGCTGTGGGAAGTAGTTTGAGATCACTTACCCAGACTGTCAGGGGCAGCATCATCTGCCTCAAGGTGTTTTTTTAAAGCACTTCATTACCGATTACATACACTTACATGTTTTCTCCCTTACACTCTAGCATATCTGCTTTTCATTTCAGTGGCATAGAAAGACGTGATTTCACAGGGAGAATAACCTCCTGGAATCACTCTGCTATCTATCTCCACTAGGGATTTTGACCAATATTGATTCCGATGTTGATATTGCAGTAATGGCTGATAACCAATATTTACAAATGCAATAGTTCATTACCCTTTCACCACTGAAAAACAAAAAAAAAAAACACTGTCACATGACTAAACAAATACCCTCTTCAGAAATAAATCACAATAAGCTGGAAGTAAATATTGGTTGTTAATATCAGTCCAGTTTTATTCATCGAATGGATACCAATATATTAAAAAATGACTAATATCGGCCGATACTGATGTTAGTGTAGATATATCGTGCCTCCCTTATCTCCCCATGCGCATCATAATGGTTCAAATATTAGTTTTGGTTACTTAACAACATTGCCTAATCTCAAGTTTCTCTATTATAGATTCTTTGCTCACCTCAGCATGCTGAATGCTTTAAACTAATAGTGAAACTGACATGCTTTATTATTAATTCTTCTCCAAGGTATTTGACTACTTGGAGATGTTCTTTAAAATGTCTTTACTGGACAGACAGTTGGTCCTTAATTATGAAAAAAAATTACCGGTTACTATGGAAACCACCAACTGTCAAGCGCAGCATAACTGAACTTAAAACACAAATAAATGTCTGAAGAAACAACTTGTTGACTAAATAAAATAAATTCAAAGAATAAACATGCACATTTTGACAAACTTCATATTTATAATATTGTTAAAACCCTATTACAGGGGCACTGGTGTATTTTTATTTCGCTTGGACAAAAACAGATTCATTTTCACTTCTGTAATACTTTTGTTTTGACTAGAAGCCTCCTACGATCGAGGCTTGTTAGAGATGCAGGAAATAGCAGAAGGAAACTGCAGTTTAATGAGATTCATGGCTTAAGTCCCCTGAAATCCCAGATTGTAAAGTTCTGCCTGAGAGAATCCTTCTGATCCCGACCGAGACGAATGTCCTTAGCTGGGAAACACAGAAATGATGTAAAAGAAATAAGATGAGGTTCAGTCAGACGTGTCTACTTGTTGCTTTTTCAGTCAGTGTCAGTTCAGAATGCAAAATAATCTTTTTATTTCCTGGTTTAAATACTAACAGGTGTTCAGACTGAAACCGAAATGTTCTGAAAATCTCTGAATCTTTACATTTCAGTGGGTGATTAGTGGCAGCCATAGTGTATGACGAATACAGAAGAAGAATGGATAACAAATGTCTGATCCTCAGAAGATGTCCTTACTTGACCGAAATTGAGTGTTAAAGAGATGCAGTAAAAATATAAAAAACCCAAAAGTGCATCACATTCCTGTGCCTTGACCCAACCAATCAGAAACCGGTAGCTTAAAATCAAATCTAAAATATAATTCAATAACAAGGGACTGTCTCTGTGACCAGACAGAGGGAACAAAACCATTTTGGGAAGCTAGATTTGACCTCTGTTTTTTGCTTTGGGCTGCCGTGTCCTAGATTCCCCTAAAGTCCCTCTGGCTCACGAACAGATAAACGTATTCAGCTGCTAACTGTTGATAACAGTCCAGCCCTGCAGTCCACAAGATGGCTGGTTGTTTCTCATTACGTCGTCTAAGGTCATTTTTTTCCTTTTATGTGTCAGAACCTAAATGCTAATTTGCTGCCAGATACAGACACCAAAACTCAATTTATTTTTTGACTCCAACATGTTTTCAAACAGCATTCGAGACAAACAACCCCAACAGACAAACATTTATTGTTTTTTAACAGTTTTATTTTCTTATTTGCTACATTTTAAGTATGCGGTATGTAATTTTTATAAACATGTTTTTTATATATATTTGGTAAAAGTAATTATATGACAGTATAACCCAAGGCAGATAATCTGTGAAAAAAAATCTGACTCTGCCCTCTCCCTGTTGTCCTACTGCCATTTGCAGAAATACAAAAACAACCAGTCGGAGCCAGACAGGTATTTTTCAGACTCAGCTTAATGTAATTTTCAGCTAATTTTGCCTGAGAAAAAGGAGCTGCCAAATAATTATGCACAGTTTATATGGGTTTGATCTCCTTATTGCACAAATACATATTACCTGCTACATTTTGGACTTGAAAAATATGCATATAATTATTATATAGTCCAATTGGTGACCTACTAACAATGATTATGTGCAGAACGTATTGTGAAAATAGTGCAATCTTTAGTCTTACACAACAAGTCATAGTAAATAATGCTATAATTGCAAAAAGTGTGACTTTATAATAGTGAAAAAATTCTGAACAGTTTGATCTCTCAACGGATCTGATCCACACCGCCTTAGATATTTTCCGTTCTTGTGTCTCCAGCCTAAAGGCGGTGTTGTCAGCCCCGTTGTCCAGTGGTGCCCTGGATCTGTCTGGCATCCCTCTAACGACTCGCGACATGGAGCGTCTGTCTGCACACCTGCAGCGTCACGCGTCCATCGTGGTCAGCTTGGAGCTGGGCTTCACCGAGCTGACTGATGAGGCTTTCCTCCAGCTCCTCCCCACGCTGGCTGCTCTGCCGCACCTGGAGACGCTGGCTCTGAACGGAAACAGACTCACCAGAGCTATTCTGAAGGAGCTCACCGATGCCCTGAAGGTCAGAAAGGATTGTCTTGTTTTGTTTATACCATTGATAATAATCCGGTGTTGTCGTGATGTCTGGGGGATTGGTGTTTTTGTCATGGGGTTCATGTTATTCACAGTCTTTGCTTATTTATCTGTGGGTTGGGGTTCATAGTTGTCCTGGTGTCATGTTTTGTTTCTCTAGGTTATATTCCATTGGTGTTATGTTTTATTTAAATTAAAGTTTTGTTTAGATTAGTTTCTTGCTAATCTAATTCTCATGCTGGTCTCATCTCTGTTCATTGTTATCTTAGTCTCCCTTGTCTTGGCCTTGATTATTATTGTCACTTTGCTTCAGTCCTGTTATGTTCCAGTTTCCATGTTTTGGTTTTCTTTAGTTTCATTTGTGCTGAGAAGGTTCTGTCATCCTTTACATGCAAGGTTTTATTTCCTGTAGTCTCTCTCGTCTGCTTTCCTCAGGCCAGCTAAATTCTTCTTGTTAATTTAGCTCATGTTTTTTCACCTGTGTTTCCTGATTAGTTATCTTCCTCACTTGGGATTCTTGTCTATTTTATGTCTGTAGTTTGATGAACACTTATGTCCATGTAAAGTCTTTGAGTTTAAGTAAATCTTCACCATTCCATGTCGCCACTTGCATTTTGACTCTTCCCTATTTTCACCTTCACCAGTCGTGACAGGTGTGGTAAAATTCATTTTTTCAAGTCTTTAAGAAGACTAGAGTATTTAAACCTGATGTAGCTAATGTGGATCCTCAACAATAAAAAATAATGGAGATAAACATCTCTTTTTAATGTGAATATTTCCCATTTCAGGATCCAAGCAGTTTTCCAAGTGTGACATGGATTGATTTGGGGAACAACGTGGACATCTTCTCCTTGCCTCAGCCCTTCCTGGTCAGCCTGAGGAAGCGCTGCCCCAAGCAGGGCAACCTGCCCACCATCCTGGAGTTTGGCGAGAGTCAGGCCAGCGACCCTCCCGAAAGGCTGAGGGGTGTCGGAGAGGAGGAGGAGACGGACGATACCAACCTGACTGAGAGCATGGGCGAGCTCCGATCGGAGGTGGAGGAGGAGATGGACGGAGAGACAGAGATCGAGGAGATGATGGAAGAGCTGCTGGACTTCGACAGGGAGATTCAGGGCAAAGACGACGAGGAGGACAGCATGTGGACGCTGGGGGAGCAGCGGAGAGCGACAGTGAGGAGCAGGAGAGCGTGGCGAGAGGAGGAAGAGAAGGAGAAGGAAAAAGAGAAGGAGGACCAGGACCAGAGGAAAGACATAAGACCCGGGAGGAGGGCGGTGATGGCGGAGGACGAGGACGACACACAGAGCCGTTCATCCCGTCTGTCCTGCTCCAGCCAGTCCCAGCACTCCTTTGCTGTAGTTGAGCCAGCGAGAGTGGAGGAGGAGGACATGACGGACCAATCAGAACATTTAACCTGAGTGCTGCTCCCAGATCTGCTTGTGTTTTCCTTCTTGTGTCCCGTCCTGTGTGGACAGAGGTGATGGGAGTACAGGCTGCAGCGTTGCATGCGGTCTTCATGAAAAAGCCCCCGCTGGTGATTTATGACCAACCGATCCGATACGCCTGAGGATGCACAGAATAGAGGCTCAATGCAGAATGTTGATCCTGAATTAGGTCCTTCCTTGTTTTAATCGTGCTAATACCTACATGTGCCTGTCGCACCTCTGTTTGCTGGTTCAAAATGAGATGAAACCAAGCCGGAGAAACTTTTCCCTCCACCAGGATCAGAAGACGAGCAGAAATCAAAAGTTAAGCCATCGGCGTAAATCTGCTGCTGCAGTCAAACCAAACAGGTGCGCAGTGTTTCACAGGCGGAGAGCAAACCAGTCGCCATGAAGAAGTTACAAAAGAAAACTTGCTATTTTAAACTGAATGTGTACAGAGGATAGATGTGCTAGGACCGGCCACATCTCCGAACATGAAACATTTAGAAGTATTTTTCCTCATGATCTAGGTCATGCTTTTACTCCATGGCTCAGTACGCGAGTGTGCGTCACATGCTTACAGCGCTGTGTTTATATATAGCCCCCGCCGCCCCTACGGTTGCACTCAGGTAGCAGTATGTAGCTTTCCCCCAGCTGTGCTTTCCCTCCTCGCGTAACATCATGCAGAACTTTAACAGATAAACTGTATTTTTGGTTGTACTATAAATATCAAAATATATATATAAGATGTTTGAGGAGATATCTCATAGCTTAGTTCTGAGGTTCTGACAACCAAGAGCTCATATTTAGTACTATTGGAGTCTGGAGCAGCAATATTTATGAGCTAAACTAGTCTATTAGATATTTTATAAGGGAACAAGTTGTATTGTTGCAAAGAGACATACCTAGATATATAGAGAAATATATGAGAATGAAAACGTAGCTTCATCCAAATGCAGTAAATATGTACAAAGTCAGATGTTGCCTCGTTCACAAGTGGAGCTGAACAACCAGGTAATCAATCAGCAACACGTCATACTGTGTTGCCGAGCCACATGTAAGGAAGTCATCTTATCGGTTTGACTAAAAATGTTAGTTTGCCTCTTTTAAAATTCACACAAACATTTGGTACATACGCATTACCGTTTCTTCCCTTCCCACTTCGTATCCATGTACTAAACCGTGATGTAGGAGTTTGTTTTCCATTGTACAATAATTGGAGTCTGTGGTTCCAAAAATGCTCAAATGGTGAATATAATTTAATCCAGTTCTATATTATTATATGACAACTGTATTTCACTCTATTTAAGACTGTAGACTCTTATCAAATAGGACCATTTATGACCCCCAAGCCAACTACAATAACTCTAAACAATCTTTAAATTTTATTATTGAAATGTTTGTTGAGTTTTAAAGAGGTTTGAAACAAACAACGTAAGATGTAACTAATATCACAGACTAAACAAAGCAGCATATACACACCTTTCATAACAAAATATGAATACATTTACATCCCATAAAGACTAAATCTTGTTCATTAAAAACAAAAATACAGACCGGCATGTATGAGTCCTGTCAATCATGAAATTTGGCGGTCAACAACTCAAAAGATGCAAACTCTTGAATCTGCATCTTTTCGTCTACCTTCACTTTTCCGTTTTCGAAGGATTCCTCCAGCAGCTACAATGAAACTAGTTAATGTTGGAGCAAATGCATGTTTAGAAACGTTTGGCAATCATGACCTGTCTACCAAAAAAAAAGCCAATATCTTTCCAATCCGGTAGATTAAATAGCATGAAGAATAACTTCCATCAGTTGTTAAACCCAGTAGGAAACTTTCCTTAGTGAGTATTAATTGACGAATAGTCGGTTCAAAACATGCTGAAAATTTTAACAAAGCTGCAAGCTCTTATCAAAGCTTGCGATCCAAGCTGCATAACCCAGCTGGACCACCACTGGGTTATGCAGCGATCCAAGCTGCAAAGACACAAAATACTAAAGGGACAAAAAAAAAACATAATACCTATTGAGAAACAAATGTATCGCATGTATTCGTTTTCAAACAGACTACAAAGGGAAGGTCAGTAAACACATGGGAGTTAGGAAGTCTGTGCTACAAAGTGAACTGTGAAGCCGGAACAAAAAGTTTTGTGCAGCTTTCGACATTAGCTTTGAATCTGGTATTTCTAAACTTCAACTGAAACATCAGAGAAAATGAGAACCTAGAGAGAAATATTTATTCTGTAGTCAGTACCTCTTATGTTTTGTGATCTTAAAGGTTCTGTTAGCATATAACTTTCTGCTAGCGAATGAAGCTAACGGCTAGTCCAAGAAGGGCCGGCTTAAAACTGCTCCAGTTTTAAAAACATCGTAGAGATTTACACAAACACTGTTTTATGAACCTTTGAAGGTAGATATTTTCACTGTTATTTATTTAGATGAAAAACTAAACTCATACTTACAACACAACATGCACAAATTTTTGCCTTTTGTACCACTTTCCTCTTATATCAGACAGTTATTCTGACCTGAAAACTTTTCCATATTCCTTTCTCATTGCATGTTTCTCTCAGGAGAATCACTGTTGACATTCAGCTTCAATCCTCCATTTGCTGTGTGAATAACCATTGGCTCCTCTGCAAATAGCCTTCCAAAGTAAACATCTTAACAGTTTAAAGGTTTATTAAATAACATTTTCAGAAACCTAAAAATGTAAGAAATCAGTTTTGGTCTTGGGCCTTCTCAGACTAGAGATTAACTTTAGCCAGTGGAACGATCCAAGCTAGATGCTAAATGACGAGATCAAGTCTTAATCATAATACTGATGAAACAATAACAGCAAGCAGTAAAAAATATCATTTTTAACTGTGTGTTGTTGATTTTGTGCAGAAATGCAAGAAATGGGAAAGTAAGTTCTTGAAACAATCAATAGTAGAGAATCCTCTGACTAAAATTACAATTAAAATTTCAGTTTCTTCAGAAGTACTTTTTATCTAAAAACTGAAAAAATGCCATTCAGATTTTCAAAAGTAAATGTTTTTTTGGCAAACTGTCTCACTAAACAGAAAAAAAAAACACTTAAGGAGCACTAAGTTTATCCTTGGATGTAAAACTAAAATTATAAACCTGAGTTTGCAAGGATTTGTTTGAGAGCTATGTATATTTTTGGCTCCCGATAAGGCAGCTTTTAGGTCATGCTCAATGTTCACCTAAGAAGTTTGAACTGTGCCTAAGAACAAATGCTTTGTGGTTATCCCTATGAGTTAATATTTTTCAGCACATTTCTCCTTATTTGTTGGTGAAAGATTAAAACTAACAAAGACAACAGATTTAAACTGAGATTAAAACAGTTTGCAGAACATTTTCTTGTTAAGTTAAATATTTGTTTTAGACTAAAACTAATATAGCTGTTTGAAGTAAGTCCTTTTAGAAGCAGGACAGATGAGATGGGATCATTTTTCCTGCCTTTTTTGCTTTTTAATTTATCATTTTTCATGTTTTTCATTTGTTCAAAGCAGTATTGTTGCTTGGGTAATGAATAACTGCATACAAAACTATTAGATTTTGTGCTTCTTTCTGTCTACAACAGTAAAATAATTTCGATGAGTAATCCTGCTAACTTCCAGCAGGATGACTTGCATGACTTCTGTAGTCCAGGGCTGGCAAGTCCAGTCTGTCAGAGTCCGCAACTTTCAGATGTACCCATGTCTCAACACACAAATGGCTGAATGCTCTCATCACCATGCCATTCAGTTCATTCAGGATGCATCTAACCGGGCATCCCTGGGCACAAAACCTTACCTGATGAGCACTTTACACTTTACAGCGCCTATGTACTCCTAGGTGCCTGCTTCCTATTGAAGACCAACCCAATCAAAGTCCCCAATCCAATGAGTGCTATCAGTTTAGACATTAACGGACCCTCTTAATGCCAGTTTCTGCAGATCTAGGCTGACGATGCACCACCTGTCGGACTTTGTTCTGCACTTAATTCTTGCTTGTGTTGCTGCTTCCCTCTGCTGAGAGCAGATCTTCAATGTGCCTCTGTTGTTCATTTTGACCCGATGTTGCAGTGCAGTCACGTGATGTTCGAGTGGAACTAAATAAAAAGGGGAAAAGATTATTTTTTATTTTCATCTAGAGTCAACAGTTTCTCTCAGCTCATACTTTCTCTCTTGTAAAACTTGCTAACGACATCAATCACTGACAACACAACTGCAGTTAGTTTCTAATAGATTCAGCCGCGTCATGATAATGGCAAATCAAACTGTAGCGTCAGTCAGACATTAGCACGCCATGGTCTCTTTGAACCACCACAGCTCCAGATGTTTTCTATGTTTATGACTTCAGTCTTAAGTGATCAAACAATGGGCCAAATGACATCACTTAAGGACATTTATCAGACTTAAAACACTTCAGTAGAGAGAGAAAAAAAGGCCGTACAGTGCCAGTAAAAGGTTTTCCGACTCTTTCAAGGCTTCTTATTTTACTGTGTGTTTAATAAGAGGCTCGGTGAACACTGAACCCCATGCTGACCAATCAAAGGCATGTTTCTGGAGTGTTTTATTAATCAAGTCTCAGTTATGTGAAATAGAGAGGGGTTTTTACAAAGCGCAGACACGGGGAGGAATACTGGAAAACTGTGTAACGCTTAATGTGTGCAGCATGGGGATAAATATTGACAATAACCCATTTAATTTTGAGACAGTGGGGTGTTTCTTTATTGCTCTCAGCAGGATATTCCCAGAATCGGATCGTACCAGAAGTGCCGTAAATGATCATCAGGCTTTAAATCCTTTTACCTGATGTAATTCAAACCAGAATCTATTAAACCCAAATTTAATTTAATTACCAGGTGGATTTTAGAAAAAGGTGGAGAGAGAAAATATTATGTGGTTGTTTTACCAGTATCACACTATTGCGTAGTTCCTCTTTCAATGCCATTGTGATCAGTATTCTGAACAAGTCAAACATTGTGGTCACCATCTGATGCTCTGTACCAGATTGCAGGATAAGGAAAAGCAGTAAAACAAAACAGAAATATGCAACAGTGCAGATTAGTTTCGACAGACAAACTTGATCACTGGCACACACACACAGTCATAGTTGATTACATTTTTAATCACTTTTTATCTTATTTTTCCTAGATAGATTCGAAAAACCTCAGAGATCTAATGATCCTCACATCATGAGGCAATGTTTTCCACTCATTAGTAGCCTTTACAGAAAAAGCCAATTTCCTAGCAGTACGGTGAAATGGGATGCACATTTTCTCCCAGATGATATTCTCACTGATTGAATCATTTCTAAAGGGCGAGTATGCATAAAATCAGACAGCGGAGGAAAAGCCAGATCACTTACAAATGTATAAACAAGACACAAATTACAAAATAAGCCAACATTTTTACAGCTCATAAACTTGTATTTTTCTGGAATCCTACAGTGGTGGGAATGCTGTGACTTTTTAGTCAAGGCTTTTAGAGTCTGTTTAAATTAAGTCTGCATCCAGTGAGAAACCATTTCTAATACGTTTACATTTTTTAAGATTGAGTTTTACTTCCATATTCAGATTCTTACCTAAGACTAATTAACCTAATAGTCAAGTTTTTGGACTGTGGGAGAAAACTGGAGCACCTAGAGAAAATCTATTATAATTTTGTTATTCCCTTTCAACTTTATTTTTTGAATTTTATATTTAGTTATTTTGTTAAGCAGGGACAATTAGTTACAATAAAAATATTGGTGGTTTTAATAAGAAAAGAAAAGAGTCATATTTTCATGGAGCTTGAGTTCTTTCCCCTTTGTCCTCCCTGGGTAAACATTTAGTCATCACTGCACTTTACAAAACATTAAGCTGATCCACATTCTCCACAGACATACCTTTGATGTTCCACAAAATTAGCAACATTTCCTCACATTAGACCCACAGATATGCATATATGGCATATATGGCAAGTCGACGAGACGGAGTGACGGCAGTTTTGCTGTGAGGGCTCTCAAGGTTGGGTTATCTTAGGCCAGGAAAACACACCTGAAAAACAACCAGGACTTAAAATGGCCTTGAAAAAAAATCAGTAGAAACCTTGGAGATAAACACACCTGAGTCTGGACCTTTCCCTGGAAGGGTCGGAAAACTTTTCCTTATCACAGATGGAGAAGACAGCCATAAATTAAGCGTCATAAAATGACTTTAATGTAGAACTGAGCTTAGATTTACCAAATACTCTCTACCAAAGTTAAATATATGTTTTCCCTCTGGTAAAGCCTTACAAATTCATCCAGAACCGTCCGGTGGTTGATTTTAACCGAATCTTCATCTTAGCTGTTCATCAGTGACAGGATGACATTTTTATGGACAGCTGGTTAATGTTTGACCTCATTGATACCAGCAGGATATTAACAGCTTTGCACATCCAACTAATATCAAAACTAATATCAAAGAAAAAGGAATCCCTTTAATCCACCCGAACAATAAGCGACTCTCCAAAACCAGTTTTATAAAGAATGAACCCTTTACAACAACAAATGACTTTAAATATTGCTTGCTATCTTGTACTTCAACTTTCCTGTGGTTCTGTCAGAGCAACGGGCTTTGTTTATTCAGTGCTTTGGGGTCAGGGTCTTGCAGGTTCATTGCGGTGATTACTCTGACTGCCTTCCAACGAGCCCCAACCGGAGGTACGTGTACTTAATCATAATGAGCTGCCGCCACGCACACGTCTGCTTTTAATGTCAAGGTCACGGCAAATCGAAACAACCAGAGCGCTGCTTGAATTAGCTCCATAAATCAACAGATGGAGGCGATTAATTGGAATCTTCTGATTCAGGAAATTCAATAGAAAGAATAATCTTGGCTGTACTTCAGCTTTTGGGTGAGAGAAGCTCATATGTTGATCAGTTCAGGGGAAAGTTTTAAATTATAGCGAAGTACGTTTTTTTTTTTTTTTTCCTTCTTGCACTCTGCGTAGGATTCCAGAGGCAGAATGGCGAGTCCCTCTCTGTTACAGTAAGACGATCGTGGCGTTCACCTTGGACTTACAGAAAGCGACGAAAGACACTGTACATCCTCCTCAAGGACTCTGCTGAGCTGGTGTAGAAAAATAAACATCGGAGTGAATCTGTAGGCATGAATGGCCTTGGATCGTTTCTTGATCAGTGTTTCTTTATGCTCTGTATGCTCCTCAATCTACAGTATGCTTCTATAAATATTCTTTATACTAACTTAATTTTTTGTCACTTTGTCAATCTGATGGTTTTGAAGAACTTTATAGACTTACTAAAATCCGAGATGATTTGTATGACTGTGATTTGCTGTTTTGCCTTGGGCCTAACCAATAAAGTCTATGATAAGAGGAAGAGTAACTCAGCTATTTTGTCTTTGTGATTCCTTTCCTTTGCAACAGCCACTTATCTGATTTCACCAAAACAGCTGCTTCCTCAGTGGAATAGGAGATAAATAGATAGTGCTATAGATAAAGTTAAAATAGTAAATGACATACTTTGCAAAAGTACTCATGCAGTTGCTCTCAGAAACATTGATTTTTTTTTTTCAGATTTGAAAAAGGAGGGCATTGTTTTGACGTGTAATTTGGCAGCTTGTTCAATTCAGCAAGAAAACCCAAAAAGTCAATTGAGAGTGGGATATTAAAAAGCTACAATAACCTGGTTACATAAATGTTCACTCTCTTGAACTAACTGCATTTTCTATTCAGAGTGAAACACAAACACACACTTTAATCATATATGTTAGTTTAAAACCTTAATGCACTAAAATAATAACACACTACTTTGTGCTGGTCTGTCACAGATGAGATACACTAACGTTTCTGGTTGCACAGTGATAAAATATAAAAAAAAGTATGAAAACTTTTGCAAGCTACTGAATTTTGATCTTTTTAATTCCTTTTTACATTTTTAAACTTCTTTGAATAATGAAAGTAAGTTATCTGACATTCAATGCCAAAGAGATCAAAAGAAAATCATAAACCAGTCATAATATCCAAAGTCACTGTACAACTTACTGTAGAAAATGATTGGTGACATCTCTCCATGAGCCTGTTGGCCTTTTCAAATCAGTATAAGACAAAGGGAATACACTACAGCTAATTTATTTCTAAATAAATATTTTCCAATATTTTCAACAAATTCAAAATCATGAAAGTGTATATTACACAAGTTACAGTACAAACCAAAACTAATGTGTGCTTGGTGACATCTAGTGGACATTAACATAAATTGCACATTCAGATTTCTTTTCCCTTTTCCCATAGAGCACAGCTACAAG